CCCCGCCGGGCCCCGGGGGCCCCCTACTAATGCACGCCCCTCACCTCGCGCTCCTCACCCGGGGGCCGTCGCCCATCCGACCCTTTAGGGCTTAGCGTATCACGTGACCCGAGGCAGTTAAGCCCTGCAGTTAGGCCCCTGGCCGGCCCTTAACTAACCCGCGCGGCCCGGCCGGCCCGGCCCGTTTGTGCAGTATATCGCCGGAGCGCCGTTTTGGAGCAGGAGGAACGGCGGGCGTGGCCGGCTCATCATCTGCATGCCGGACTCGTAAATTCATCGGGAAATTCGAGAAGTTATGTGCGATCCACACGACGACGACGACGTAACGACCCGAAGCAGCAGACTGGCGGCGCGGCGCGACTTACACCGCGGGGGAGGAGCCCCGGTCCCCCGGCCCTGGGCACCGCCTCCACCGCCACCCCTTCCTTATCCGCGTACCCCATTTATCTTGTCGTACTTTTTATTTTCCTTTTCCTTATTTCGCAGCCAGCGGCGGCGAAAGCTTCCCCGCGCCGGGGCGGGACAGCAGAAATCCGCCCCCACGATTCACCGCCTTCGCTGTGTGTCTTTTAAATTACCCACCGCCACCTCCTCTTGCGGAGGCCGCCCTGGCCTCGGTCTGCCCTTTGACCTTTGGTCCTCCCTGGCGCCGTGGCGGACCGCCCCGCCGCGCCCTCCACGCCCTCCACGCCCTCCACGCCCTCCACGCCTTCCACGCCACGCTACGCCCCGCCACGCCCAACGCCACGCAAAGGCAAAGGCAGAGGGACGCGCGGGGGAGACTTTGCGCCCCACACGCCGCGCACTTAAGCCCTCCGGAGATAAACAAAAGAGGGGAAGGGGCTGGATGGGGGAAGGGCAAAATCGTGAAAATAAGACGGACGCGCGCGTCGATCGACTTTAAGAGCAGCGACAACAAAAGCTATGGGGGAGGAAGGCTGGGGCGAAAATATAATAATGGTAAAACAATAAAGTGCGGGGCTGGGCTGGGCCGCGTTTGTAGTGGTGGAGGCTGGAGAGTAGTGCTCCCGTCAGCGAGAGGCGTGGCGTAGGGCGGGGAGGTGGAAGCAGTCACAGGCAGAATCGAGCGGAGGAGAGGGGCTGGTAGCAGAGGAGTGGAGTGGAGTGATGATATACGTACGTCTACCGTACGTCGTACATCTCCGGCCATGTCCATCCACGTCCGCGAGACGTCGGCGCAAGGTGTACACTGCTAAAAGCAATCGACCAGTATGGTGCATTGCGTTTTGTTATTAATTTTAT